AAAACTTTGCAGAGAGGTTAAAAACAGTCCCAGTAGGGTCAATTGAAAGGCCACAGACTACAAAACACACATATGTAAAAACGCCAATTTTCATGCAGGTGGAAGTCCAGGTTAACAACACACATTTTACTGCCCCCATATACTACCTGGGTAGCTACCGCTAACAAAAATAGGTCTGTCGCTATGACACAATGCAACCTAATAAACTTCTCACGTGACTGGAAAGTGTGCAATGCCAGGAGCCAGCTAATCTTCAAAGCTTGTACAGTGTGTAAATCTTAGAAACTAACACAATATAGCTCAGATCAGAGACAAAGAAAGGCAAGGCGCTGGAAGACAACATGAAACTATTAGTATACTAAAAGAATTTCCAGCTAATGTTCCCGTGTTTAGATTTCGCATCTCGTGTGATTGAGGTAGGGTGAAGATTATCTCAAGATAAAAAAAAACTAATGGATAAATAAAATGAATTCAGCAGAAGAGATTAGAATATTAATGCACAACAAGTAAACATTTGTGAAGAAGAACATGAAATAATCTTGCAACTTAAATGGAAGTGAAGAACACACATACACAAATGTCCAGAGATTTAAGACATATTACAGCCTCTCAAACTTTTTAATTTATTTATAATTTGCTTAAGTTGAGGAGTAATCACATACAACATTATGTGTTTACAAAATACTTGTCCAATCTTGCTAAACACATCCTCATGCCCTAACAGTCATCTGTTGCATACTTGTAGTTTTCCTCTTGTGTGTGGAGAGGAAAGGTTTTTCCCCAAGTGTAAACACTGAACATGAACCAATTTAGCAACTCACCCAGTGCTGATGAAGACTGTTACCAAAGCCTCTAGGCTGGACCATTATCAACAAACTAAATCCTGAACCCTTAAAGCCCAAAGTCAAACAAGCGTGAGGACTAGTCCTTCTCTCCCTAATTAAAAGAAAACAGCTGGAGCCTTACCAAACCCAGGCCTGGTCAGGCTTGTATGTTGCCCAAATCCCCACTTAATTGGATCATGATTTTGTGTGGTCTTCCTCTCCTTTTAGACTATGATTGTAGGTACAAACTCCTTGATTCTCAAACAACCAGCTAATTCAAAGTTGGGAGCACTTTCACTTCACATAGGTCAAGCCCTGTTCGCACAGCAGTGCTAACTACTCTCCGTTCTCTTTGATTTCCGCACTGAGTGCTCAGGTAGAGTAGAAAAGCGCTATATAAGAACGAGTCTATACAAAGTCACAAGGTGATCGAGATGCAGAAACATGAGCGTAAACACACAGCAATACAGCCTTACCCGAGTCAGAATCTTTCTGGTCTCCATTTGCTCCAGCAGTGAAGGGCAGCTTCCTTTTAGAGGCCTTTTCTTTCATCTCTTTGACCCCATCATTGCGATCCAATTTGGGAGTCTTGTTTGATAACACCTTATCCTGTGAAAGCAACAAAACACTGGGGTGAGCAAGTGTCTTCATCAGAGCAGTGCACTTTATTTGTCTACCTTACTTTAAAGTCTTAGAAGCAATTCCTGACTCAGCTGCCACCTTGAAAACACCCTCAGGCACATTTTGAAGCATTAATTAAATTAACTTTAATTTCAATGGTCACCAGGAAATAACATCTGATAAAAGACTGCACAAGTTTGCTGACCGCAAACTCCGTTTATAAAAAGCTTTTCCCCCCTGGAGGTTATACATCTACCACCATATTTTTAAGTCGCCGTGTCCCTCTTTCATAATGTCTCTGGCTATACCTTCCTACTGAATTCACTGGCCTGACTCTTCTAGCTATTAAGGGCTTCTCAAAGCAAAAGTTTTTCCAGAGTTTCCTCCTAGATTCCTGGCCACAGTAAAAGAGCCAGGCACAGGGAGAGGAGGCTAAGCTGACGCCGGCTTGGCTCTGTGGTCTACAGCTGCTGGAAACAATCACAAGCCCCTGTGTATCTGCTATCAACAGATGTAAATACTTATGTGTTTGCCCAGCTTAACTTAATGGTTGTTCTGTTTTTGGGTGCAAACTAATTTATCCAGAATACCTTTTTTAAAAACAAACAAAAAGACCCCCACAGACCACAAACAGTGGAAGATGTCTACAAGTTGTTTATGATGTCATCTTCATAACAGTTTCTTGTGTGGTAGCAGTAAATAATTATTCATTATTAAAGCTACTTTATGTTGGTCCCTTTCTTAAGGAGTCACCACAGCTGATGGATGCACATATGTGACTTGGCACAGATTTTACTGGATGCCCTTCCTAATGCAGCCGTTTCATTTATCCATGCTTGGGAATGGAACTGAAGCTGGGTTTGTATCTCTTACAACGAGCTACTAACAATTATTCATTATTAATTTATATACATTTTTTGACTAGAATACACAGAATTCAACACAGAATTATTTTTAAAGAGGAAAGCAGTAGCTTCTCACTGAGCAAATATATGAAGTCAAAGCTATACAAAGCCATACGCTGCATTCCTAATTGTAATACATTAGGAATCAATTCAAAGTGGACATTTAGAGATATTTGTAGATGACAAAAACACAATATTAAAAGACAAGTGTTGCATCTGTGTAACAAAAAATGTTTTTAACGTGTCCCCCAGTAATGGACCTATTATGCTTGATATTTTGCGTGCTGATTTTGACATCACATAGTGTGTTGTGTGACACTTTGCAGCGCTTTGGCCATTTGTCCACCTCAAGATCTTTGTAACCTGGCACGTTGTGCCGTGGCTGCCACAGCTTGGTTGAAGACACGAGTGTACGATTGTGTGGAAAAACCTTTGCAAAACAACACCCGACAAAGTCTTTGCTTCCGTGTTTTGACTTCTTCTTCTGTGGCGATATTGTCTGAGTGGTGACACCTATCGCTCAGGAGAATACTGCAGTGGTTTCCTGCGCCTTAACGGTGGGTATAAATGTGAGTGACTGTGAGACAAGATTGGGGCCGTGATCATTGCGACCACTGTGGTGGGTTTATCAGGGATTTAAGTCATGACTCATGTATTTAGGTTTCTATATTTAATGTACTACATGCTTATGCTAAGGAGGTAGAGGAAGTCAGCTGCTGATTGGAAGGTTGGTGGTTCGATCCCTGGCTCCCCCAGTATGCATGCCAAATATCCTTGGGCAAGATACTAACCCCGACTTGCTCTCCAATGCATCCATCGGAGTATGAACACGTATGAAGGACAGTAATGCACTGACAGTATAGATTACAGTGCTTGGGTGAAAGGGTGTGTATGGGTGAATGCAGCGTGTTGTACAGAGTACTTTGAGTACTCCAGGAGAGTAGAAAAGCGCTATAAGAATCAGTCCATAAACAACAACAAAAATAAAATGAAACAAAAGAGAGCTGATACTGTTTATATGCTATAAATGGGACATTGTTGTGGCATTAAAAGGATACCATGCTTTTAAAGGATTTTTTTTTTTGAAATAAATGATATTACCTAAAAAGAAAAGTGTTTTTCATAATTACATTATTTGTCATGTAAGGTTCTGGTCGGTATTGTGAAAGTCTACATGTACTCTCTTGCAATACAGTAGTCAATACTGGAATTTCAGCAATGACTCCATGTATGATTCAGACGACACCATCTGTGATTAAGCGTTCAAAAACAAAAAACAAAAAGCATACACAGGATTCAGCACAGAATGAAAAATATAAAAAAAATCAGTCCACTATAGCTCCCTATAACTCCCTATACAAATGCTCAAGCAAAACTTCTACAGGAAGGATCTAATCATTTGACGACTCCGTTAAAAACACAGGTTTAAGGACTCATAACGTAAGATGCAAGACAGAGGTGAGATAACGTACAAACAGACGCTTTAATTCACCTAATTTCTCTGTCCTATCTTCTGTACCCTGCTCATCTATCTCTATCCTGAGGGCAGGTTTTCTATTATGTATCAACTCTTTGAACTCCTCCCCCTGCCCTGCCCCAGTCATAAGACCATGATGTCATGGTACAGTAGAGACAAACAGTGTCAGCTACAATGAGCTGATCTTTCTGTCTGCCCGTCTGCATCCCCGCTCACTCCCACAAAGAGAGAACACACCATTTGAGCGAAATTATGATGCATACGTTTAAAGCTACAGTACATCTTAAGCATGGAAAACACTATGTGAATTATTTCTTAAAGCAAACAAACAAACAAAAGAACCATCATATAGCTCTGGTTAACTGGACTGGGGAAAAATGGTCAATTCACCAACTCAAATCTCTAAAGTTCAACCGGGTTGATTTTGGAGAATTAAGTGTAAGCAAAGCTTTGACAACTCAAGACTTTCCTCTGATCTGCCTTCACACGACACCCTGTTTGGTGGTCTCCTAGCAATGCGTGCTCTCTTCGTCTCACTCAGTTTTCCACCCACCCCTGTTCGCTTCTTTCCCTCCCTCCCTCCATACCAGAGTCTGATGCAATCCTTTGCAGAGGGTTGTAAATCCATGCCTGCATAAGCTGTACCTCTGCTTTCTACACCTCTCAGAGCTGCTGCTGGTAGCTGAACAGTTAGTACACACATGACATCATCAAGCTGCGCCCAAAACTTTGTTCCAACACAAACAGTGACGACAGTATCTGTGTCAAATTCAAGGTAGTGAATACGTCATAACTGGGCAATAAGGTGACACCAATTCAAAAGCACTTCAGACATGTGACTTAGGGCTTTTTAAGACAACAAACACTGAACCCAAGTCTATTATGCAATAGTCCATTATTTAATTAAGCATTTGTGCTGAAGTCAAATGCAAGAACTATAGTTTAATTAAAAGGAATCTCCGTCGAGCTGTTTATCAATCATTAATAACTACAAGATACAACTGAGAGTAAGAAGATTACGCAAGTACAAAGACCTGCGTAGGTATGTTGTATTAAATAATAGCTCAGTCGAAGATGTGGCAAGAAGAAAACAAAATATAGCAAATATGCAGGACTGGTGGAATAAAGTATTCATACCACAATATATTGTATCATTTGTCTTGCAATACAGTACACATACCAAATGCAAATTTTTTATTAAAGTAAGCATGCAGTCTATATAGATTCCCCTACTAAATCACAACTTTACACCACTTATCGTGGCGACACTTATAAAATCTGTGCAAGTCAAGTAAAGAGACATTAACCAACATCAACAAGAAAAAAGTCAGTGAGGGGGAATCGCAACCTATCATGAGTTGATGACTAGTACATGCTGGTGCCCAAGCTACAGTATGGTTTGGTCTGTGATTTTAGTCTGTTGTTTGGTTGTCAAACCAAGTAACATGAGTGTAATGCTTTGTGGCTATAAATTAGATGTTACCGTTATGAAATTAAAAATAATGGGATACTTTTATTAGGTGTTACATATGATCTTAAAAAGGGTTGTTTTAGCCTGTTGGTAAGTGGTTACTAGGTAGCATGTTAATGTCATAATATGCAATAAAGAAATAACCACTGGCAGGGACCTGAGATAAACCATTTTCAACTTCAAGGCAAGTGAGTCAAGCAACTACTAATGAGAGTAAAACAAACTGGTGTTTAACATATGACCTGGTAGTAAAAACATATAGGGTTATCAAGGGAACTAAGCACCAATTTCAAAGTTTTAGTGAACAGTGTGGATGCAGATTAACGTTCATCCGTGTTGCAGGTTTCGTTGCTGAACTCCTGATTGTGCAAAAGAAGACAGACAGAAATTTGATGCCTTATAGTAAGCTTCCTACGCCTGATATATAGTAACACTTAAACATTTTAGGCAGTAAGCTAAAGTGAGTTTGAGAAAGAAATTTTATTTTATTTTAGTATTTTAAAAGGTACTCGTCAGGGAGGTTTTTCTTGAAAAACCTGCAACTGTTCCTCAGTGGATTTAGGACATCCCATTTATGTCATCCCAGACTGACTTTAGTGTTCTAACAAGCTCAAGATGTAAAACACTGCACTGATGGGAAAAGCCCAACCTAAAGAGCATCACCTTATTAACATACATTATAATGTATGCACAGAAAGGTTAGAGAGAAGTCTGAAGTCCAGAACTGCATCACATGCACACATGAACTTCTCAAATTAAAAAAAAAAAAAAAATCTGCTTCATTCCCATTTTTCTGTTTGATTTAACTTTTGCACATACCAGTACTTATGCATTCATGTGATTTGAACATACCTATTTTGATAGCCCATGTTGTCAGAGAGGGGACAGTGCATAATTATGCACAGGTTTCACTTTTGCCCCATTTCCATGTCATGGAGTCAAATGACATTTGCAAAAAACAGAATAAAAACCAATCAGATATCTTACGTTCTTCTACAGTAACCTGGCTTTGGGTATCTGCTGATACCTAGTAGCAATCCAGTGAGTGTGTTGAATTATTACACTGTATTTTTATACTTGGGAAACAACTGGGGATCTATATGTGTAAGGCAACATCAGTCTTGAGTCAACGCTATCTTTTCCGACTTAGAAAAATTAAATGCAACAAATAAATACATCCGCAACTATAAATTAGCTGAATTGGCTGTTTTTAGTGAAATAACAAACAACAACAGTAAAACAGCAAAGAGATAAATCAAATGAAAAATAAAAATGTATTTGGGTCGTTCTTTAAAATTTTTTGCACTAATCTCATTAGGTTGCTGCATAATGCTCTTACAGCTGCACTGGTTGCTCGTCTTCCTGCACATACATGCGCTTACCATGAGGCTGACAGGATACGGCTTAAATGAAGCAATTTTTATGATGTCTCTTTGATTGAACTAAAGACAAGTTTTTAGCTGTATCAACTCACTTGACCCGTTTGTGGCTAACTAAAAAACTTTTGCAAACATTTATAAAAAAAAACAACAACCCAAAAACAACAACAACTATTGGTGTAGCAAGTGTAAAATACTTCTAAACCATATTGCTTTGCTTTTAAATTCACTCTGGCTAGCAACCAACACGCTACAGTTGAGGTGTGGCAAAGCAAAGCCTGAACAAGACCACCAAAGATCACCAAAATCCAGTCTGAAATATGGGAACAGCACACCCCTAGAAACATACATCAATATTTATATTTCCATGGAATGAGCTGGGACAGAGCTTACCATACAATCAAATGTGCAAAGAAGAATCTTACTCTTTTTAATTATTTCATTTACACACTACATTCTACTCATTACTTTGGTTGTTAAACTAAAAGTAAATACCTATAAATTGCAGAGTGATGCAACACATGCATTGCTCTACTCCACAGTACATTTGAGATGAGCTCTGTAAGCTGACAAGTCAGAACCTGCCTCCAGCTGGTCCACAGAGCCAATGCAAAGCATGGTGTGACTGGTAAACAACAACATTAGTTTGGGACAGAAATCTTTTTGATGTTGCGTAAGGAACTGTCAAGCTTACGGAGATAAACTGGTAATTACTGAATAACTAAACTGATGTGAGCGTCTCAGGTTTATGACCAAAAGGTCAGAAAGTGCTGTTTAAAGGGAGTAAATGATTTCTGCTGAAGACCACGTGTCTTTGTCATTCAGTTCAATGATGATCTAAACCCCAATCTAAAACTAATTTTGTCATTACTTTAACTCATGTTTCTCCACCAAGTGAAACAGGCTTTGTTGCTGTGCACTGTGTTTACTGTATGCCTTTCAATCTTACCTTTTTCCCACCTTGCTTTTCCACCATGTCGGTGTTGAGTGGGAAGTGGTCCAGCTGGGGGGTTTTAGAACCCCCACCTTTGGGCATCGTTCAGCTCTCCCCACGCCAAGCTTCATTCACGCTGCCATTGCATCGTCATCAACCGTCTGGAACAAAGAGAAAAACAAAATGGTGTGTGGATGCAAGGGAGGGGGAGTTTAGCACCTGACGTTTCATTGAAAACACATTTACACACTGCCAGACGATGCAGCCATTAGTGGTACATCAAGCACTCCACTTTCAACCATTACACCCCTGGCTCTGGAGGAAGAGCATTTAAAGAGGGAGGAGAGCTGCAGCTGTGGCAGGCAAAGGGCTTATCTGTTCACCAGGCAGAACCCAAAGAGCAGTAAGAGCCGGCTGAATACTTAAAAAAAGTTGTTAGAAATCTCTGTTAAGTGTAAACCCAATCAAAGTACAATTACTTTTAACAGAGGCATGCTATTCATATCAGCTACATCTTAAGTGCTGACATACTAGAATTTGGGAATGACAACAGGGCAGACTATGTCCAAGCTATTGCATAACGCACATGTTGTGGGCCTTGGAACAGCTGAGGAATGTCTTTAGAAATTTAACCGGCACGTCTCAACAAAAACCCAAACAGCTACTTACCGCCAAAGCTAGCCAGCCCTTGTAATTGTGGGCTTTACCCTGTACTAATTTATGGCATCCTTGCCATAGTGACTAAGGAAGGTGATCCATTGTATTACAGCAACAACAACAAAAACAATCATCTCTGGTATAAGTGGTTTTATTGTAAATTCACAATAAACCATGAGAGTTCTGTACAGTTTATTGTCCTCGGTGTTCTTAGTGTCTACTTTGCCTTACGTGCAAGTACACACAATATGTGCATTACTATCCACTGCCTTTCCTTCATGGCCGCCTGCTTCACAGGGCCATGAATTAATCATACATTCCTTTCCTCAGTTCTCTCCTCTGTAATGTACTTTCTCTAAAGAGTGCGTCCAAATGTGATCATCCCTGTGACTGACTGAGTGAGTGAACAGATGAGGCCATGGCTGCATTATTTTTTCCCTCTACTTTGAGACACTGGCACTCCTATCTTCCCTGGCGCCACTTCCATCTCCACTCCACTCCACTCCCCTCCCCCCACCCTTCTTCCCTTCGCTCTGCAGTTATCCTATTCAAAGACTGCTATTTATATCCTTCCAGGCAAGTCAGTCAAGTCAAGACAGCCAGCCAGCCAACCAGATAGGCACACAACTGCAGTGGACGTGCTGACCCCCTTTACAGCTGTAAAGAATAAGACATGAGAAACACAGCAAACCACAGGCACCTTCCTCACTCGCACAGTTCATTGTTAGTCCCTCTTTGCTACTGGTAGGCACTTGCTGCAATCTCCCTCAACTCCCACCTCTCACCACACCAAACAAAGTGACAGGAAGGTCGACCGCTCTCAGAAATAAACAAACACTGCAGCCACGCACAGACACACACATTAAACTGGGTCAGCGAGGCTTCTAGAACAATAATCTGCACTATTTTGGGACTACTATGATAGATGATAATAGCAACCGAGCATTTCGCTGATATGTGAAACACAAGAAAATGCTGTTTGCAAGCTTGCAGTCACACAAAGGCACACATGGAGGGGAAACCCTGTTCAAAACCAAGGGGCATCATTTCCTGTGTAATTTCATGCCAATAACAAGACACCCAATATCTGCTGACAGTGTGTCTGTGTTTCGCCGCTGAACAGTTGATTAATTTCATATGTCCATTTATGAGTGTACATACAAGATTTCTACAAAATGTCACTTTAGGATGTTTTACAACCAACAGACAAAGTCATTTTCTCCAAGAACAAACTGCAAATTCATTCAACATTACTAAAGAAAATGAGTGTTTGATTAACATTACACTATTTAGTTTAATTTCAGCCTTTATAAGATGATGTGTAATGGAAACCAGACATTACTAACTTGGCAACCACTGCAAAAACTACTCCCACTCAATTACTTGGTGGGTTTTATCTACATATTCAGAAATGTAAGTGATCATGAGCTTGCATATAGTGGGAGTGCGTTAAAGTGGTGCTGAATAGTAATCTAGGCCAGCGAACAAAACAACTTTCAGGTGTTTTGAGGTGTTAACGGTTGAAAAGAAGTTTAAGCATTTGCTATCTTTAAGATGCCAGAAACATTGGTGACCCATAAGGAATGATCAGGATTTCTACATTGATTAGTCATAAAACGCAGCCTTCAAACCGGAGACAAATGCAATATGATAAAACACACTGAGAAATTCCACACGGTACACTTTTGTGCCACTGACTTTGCCTAAACCTACTTGGTGTCAGGTGTTCCAATTAAGGAGATGAGATTGTAAGTGTGGCTTAAGAGGTGTCACTCCCTATAAATAAAGGCATACAAAGTCTGATTACTGTCAAAGCCGTGTCTTTTCGAGAGAGATCAGTTGATGTGAACCATGGCAAGATTGCTACTACATTTTCAGGCTAGAAGCATTTACAAATGGCTAGAATTTAGGTCTACTACCTGGGAATGGGCGTCCTGTAAAGAGCACACCAAAAATAATCCCAAATTAGGTGAAAAAAGACCAAAAGGTAACAGCAGAACAACTGCACAAATCTCGACAACTTGTCCACAATAAGAAGAAACACTGAATAAGAATGGTGTTCATATCAGGACAACGCAGCACATCTGAAAAGACTCTCCAGATATTTCACAAGACTTGCTGGATAATGTTGCTAGATAATATTCTGTGGACATGTGAGATCAAAGTTAAACTTTCTGGCAAAAACCTAAGGGACTTCCAAACTGGAAGAAGAATTTTTTTTTTTTCCAATGGAATGTCACGACACAAGACCATGACCTGAGTTTAAGGCAACGAAAGACAGGGTTACAGAGCACACAAGAAAGTTAATAATAAATTAAAAGGATAATTTTAGAACAAATCCCTTAGCTACTTGTGACATAACATGAAGAGGGCTGTTCAACCAAAACATCCCAGAATTATTAATTAACGCACTCGATTTGTAGTGAGGAACCGTCCTCACGTCTTCCTCGTCTCTGTCCTGTTACTCATAAGTAGCTGCAGGATAATCTGAGGGTTTTTGTTGTGGCTGTATGAGTTACTAAATTCAACAGTTCATTTACATTTTCCAGCCTAGCTTTTGTTTGTGTTTTACAAAGTTTTGTCAAATGTGTTTGTTGTAACGGTGTCCCATTTCAATTCTCTTCTCTTCACAACTTTTGGGTTTGCAAAGTAGATATATAAAATATGCATTTCAGAGACAAATCATCTGTAGTTACATTTTTAATCAACGGGGCAATACATTTTAAGTTTATAAGCAACCAATTAACTGTTGCCTGCTGACTCGCTCCCTGACATCAGGGGTAGGGAGAAAGAAACAAAAAAACCACGCACTGCACTGTTGAGTTTTAATGTATTATGCATGACGTCAGCCAAGTTAGACGTGGCCATGGAGATAACTGCAGAAAGGAGTGGTGAGTGTTGAGCCAGAGAAGCAATCTCTTCTAAATGAAGGACAGGACCTGCCAGTACTACTCTCCAAGCTTCTCTCACCCCTGAATAAACACACACACCATTCTTTCTATGCCCCCTGTCCCTCTCTCTCTTCATCCTCCTGTAGCATCCTCTCTATCCCGAGCCACTCCCTCTGCGGTCAGATGGAGGCCAACACTTCAGCATATTGCAGCATACCATGTGCATACTTGCAGAAGCACTGGGACACATCACAAGCACACTTGCACTGGCATGAGGTCAACTTCAAGAGTTAGTTTACAATGGTTTCAAAGCCTACAAGGCAGATAAAATAGAAGAATGGACATAAATGCAGTAGCATTTAATAAAAGGGCACACAGCTGTGAATTTATTTCTTTTAAAGCACAAGGGACATTAGTGTGCCCGCTCATACAAAATTAATGTTCTATTTAAAGATAATGTGTACAGTGACGCACATGGAGTTTTCTTATCAAGCATATAAGAAGTGCCGTTATATAAATGAAAATGCTATTGCATATATCTGCTGCAATAAAACTGCAAAACACCTCAACCTCAAAGGCTCACAGACCAAACTCTACCATAGCCAGCACAACCAAGCAGCTGCTCTAATACAGACAGACAATTTTGATTATGTATGGGGAAAACAGACATAAAGACACAAACAACTATAGCAGAGGTACAGGTGCAGATTTGAAAAGCAATTGTTTGCCCCAGCCCCGCGCCACTCCCAACTCTCAATGTACACACAAAAACACACCTCAAATTTTCCACTCTGACAGCTGAACAGTGCAGCAGCTGCACACAGGGATGGGCATGTTGCTGTGTCTGCCTGTGCTCGTGTTTGTGTGCGTCGTGCGTGTATCGACCTCGCTGCATATTGCACAATCAGATACGAATCAGCACCGCGCACACAAACACACACACACAAACTGTCAAGCAGTCAACTCGTATCTTGATGTTGGCTAACAGATGTGCCATGACTTCTCCATTGTATCATAAATGGTGAAACAAGTGTTATGCAGGTCAAATGTCCTCATAGCAGAGATGCTCAGGAGTTGCAGTTGTGATTCTTTGCATTCTGGATCTAGAGCTCTAGTAAGATCAAGGCCTTTCAAGTGTACTCAACCAAAGACACCAGTTCAAAATAATGCCTAAGAACAGATACTGACACAGCCTTGATTTAGCATGACTCACCCCTAAATACTGTGATACGTTAGAGGATTACACAAACTGGTAAAGCAATACAAACTCCCTTTGGCAGAAATGTAATGGTGAAAAACATCTTTTAGCATCTATATTTAAAAGATAATAAAGATCTTAGTTAGGAGCACAAATCCTCATATCTCCTGCTAGGTTATCCATTTGACAATTCATGGTGAATTTACCAGTTACAATTCCACATAAAAAGTGCTGATGCAAAATACATTTTCAGCCCCAACCTATTTACCTCAAATACAGATTTCTCACCAGTACAAAAGCCACAGAGTTTTTCCACACTTGGTAGTTATTGGAAAAAACAGACCACTTAATTTTGAGTACAAGGAGAAAGCATCTATGTTTGTTTATAATGAAGAACTTTATTTTCTTATTAATT